TGTAATGCCATAAGCAGATCTTAGCTTCTTGATTAATCTTGGGTGATTGACAGTATCAAAGGCAGCACTCAAATCTAGAAGTAAAAGAACAACTTTAGTTTTCTTGTCAATAGTTATCAAGATGTCGTTATGGATTCTGGTTGTTGCAGTTTCACAGCTATGAAACTTCCTATAGCCGGACTGAACTTTAGAAAGCAAGTTGTTATCCTCAAGATAACTGGTGAGCTGTATAGATACACACTTCTCAATGATTTTTGACAAGAATGAGAGATTGCTAATAGGCCTATAGTTAGATAGTAATTCACCGTCAAGGCCACGTTTCTTCAAACTTGGACGAATGAGAGCCTCCTTAAGTTTTATAGGAAACTCACCTTTAACTAATGATTCATTGACTATAAATGAGATCAGAGGAAGGAGTTCTGGGAGACACTTGATGAGAATCTTTGTAGGTATGGGGTCAAGATCACAGAATTTGTTAGACATATTCTTTATGATGCTTACTAGTTCCTCATCAGACACATGACGGAATTGTACTATCTTTGGGCTATTAGAAAGAGGAACAGATTCATCTGAGTTAGGAGAATCTTCAAGGGATTGTTGTTCTAAATAAATGTTGTTGTATATGTTGTCGACCTTTGATTTAAAGAACTGTGCAAAGTTGTTAGCACTCTCAAGATTTGAAGAGCAAGAAGGTGTAGTAGTACTAACTTTTTCTTTATTGAGCAACTTATTAACGATGGAATAAGTCTTTTTAGCATCACCTGCACTATCTTGTAACCTTGTTTTGTAGAAGTGATCTCTTGTGGATACAATGACTGAGGATGCTCTCTCTGATGCTTTCCTGTACAGTCGTTTATAATCTGGGCAATCATGATTCTTTTGATACAGTCTCTCAATCTTTCTTCTCATTGCTTTTGCTTGTTGACAGTGTGTAGACCACCATTCAGCGTTATGATCTTTTCTTGGGATGAAAGTTTTTTCTTTAGCATGCTTGTCCAAAATACTGCTCAACTCAGACTCATAGATATCAACTGCACTATCGAGGTCATTGAAGCAATCAGTGTCACATAGTTTTGACTTAAGAATGTCCTCAACAAAAGCATCTAGGTCTATGCAAGCAATGTTTCTGTAAGTAATTGGTTCTAGAGTGCCTATGGGTGCTGGAGATACATTGCAATTAAAAGCAACAAAGTAGTGGTCAGACGATGTGCCAGAATCAGTAATGACAGGATCTAGAACTTCAATGCAATCGTGAGTAAAAGAACCATCCCTGGTAATTACAAGATCTAATATGCCCCCATCTCTGTGTGTTGCAGCTGAAATTTGTTGCACCCACCCACAAGACTTAAGTAGTGAATTAAACCTTTGTGCAACTGAATCATTTTCGTCTTCAATGTGGATATTAAAATCACCCATGATCAAGGGCTTTCCAGGTTTGTCTACTAAATCAACCAAGAGTTGCTCAAAGTCAGTTAGAAATTGGGGGATGTTAGCACTCTGAGATGTGGAGGTGCCAGAACGGTAAATTGAAACAATTCGTAGTATATCTCCAGAAGATGATTTGAAGGTACATTCACAAGACTCAAACGTTTTGAATCGCTTGCACTTCTGAGGAGTCACTTTAAGACTTTTCTTATATAGAACAGCAACACCTCCTCCCCGCCCAGCTCTTGGCTGGCTATGAATGGAATATCCAAGTTCTTTCATCTCAGAAAACTTAGCATTGTCATCTTTTCTCAGCCAAGTTTCTGTAGCACAGCAAATATCAGTATCAAAGTCTTCAAGCAATTGCATGACTCCAGCAGTTTTATTGCATATGGATCTGCAATTGAACAGGGCAAAGTTCATACTCTGACATTCTGACTTAGAGTTTGTAGCTAGTTTTTTGAAGTAAGGATGTTTTGTTTATACCGATTCAATGCCTGTTGCATGATGGGGCACTGCTCTGAGCTGGAATGGTGAGTGTTACAATGAGATGAGACTCTTGGATCTTTTGACAGACTGCAATTGCGACATCTATGTCTGCTAGGGTCTTCCTTGTAATGACAGTCTGATGTTCTATGCCTACCGCTGCAATACATACAAACCAGAGTTTCTTTCTCAGGACAATTTTGGGAAATATGGTGGAGCTTCTGACAATTATAGCACTGCTTGATGATGAATCTATCCTTTACAGGACAAGCACTATTCAGAATGAAGATTTTGCCGTCTCCTGTCAATAGGTTCCTAATCTGAGGAGAGACCTTGATCCCAGCAGTAGTGTACCTTAGTCCAACATTTATGTACACAATTTCAAAGAAATGCTCATTATCTAGCAAGTGTTTAAGTCCAGGATTTTTCAAGGGAATAATATCTAGAAGAGCTTTTTTAGTCTGTAACCGGAAATCTTCAGCGGGCAAACCAGAGCGTTCAATGGTTTCGAATATCTGACTGGGAATATTAGACACAGTGACTTTAGGGAGAGCTTTCTGGGAAAGAGTGATGTGAAAACCAAGTAATTTAATGACATCAGAGTTTTCAATAAGACTTTTAGCCTTCAGCCTATCAGATGAAGATGGAAAAACTAGCGTTATCTTCTTGTGTGAATCTAGTAGGCTAGTTTTCATAGCAATCAATCGTGTGTCATAGAGCAACTCAGATAGAACATCTGGAGCAGATGAAATATCAGCAGAAGGAAAGGGACTATCTAGCACCAATATCTCTTTACTTTCCTTGCCAACTTGATTTATGTTAGCTGACACTTTTCTTGGCTGAGGAGAACTAGCACCACCTACAAGAGCTGCAGAAAAATTGCTGTAAGAGGACAGTGCACTTGGAGACCGGGATTGCAAGTTTTCTTTGTTAACATTAGAAACTTGCTCTTCCTGCAAATGTTCTGGAGCACATAGAGCAAGCTTGTCGACAATAATGCTATGCATTTCCTCACGAAATGATTCCAGAAGGGCAGAGTTGTTTGCCCTCATCAAATGCTCAACTTTGGAGAGAATATCAGGAGCTTCATCATCACCATTATCATGACTCATCACAGGGTTGGACTTAGGAGCATCTACCACAGATGGTACAGGTGGACCAGGTGGAGAAACGTTTTTGGAAGAACGGGTGTCATCTACCAGTGAAATGCAATCTTCACATACGAATAGAAAATAACCCCAACGAGCTTGATCTGCAATCATAGGTCTCACCTTAGCACGGAAGGTATTTGTACAAATGGAGTCAAGAAATTGAACACCGGTTTTTTTGCGACAAGCGGAGTGAAACATCCCATCACAGACATTACAGATAATCGATTCATTCACAGTGTCATTACTCCCACACTGTTTACACGAGCCGTCTTCAAATACAGGAAGTATAACAGAGTTCTTCTTTGGCTTTAGAGTCTTCTTGAGCTTCTTACTGGCCAGGGCCTCGTGCCCCTTTTGGCCCGCCATTGACATTGCTTCCTCAATAAATGTATTTAATTGTAGTTGTGAAAATAGTTTCACAAAAGGATGATAAGCACTCGGGTGTTGAAGGTTGCGAAACCCCAACTTGTAGCGAATACACTTGACGGATGTTACTCGGGCCAGATCATTAACAATGGTCAAGAATACACTAGTACCTGCATGAAATATGGGATAATTTAAAGTAAAATACAATTTTTTAAAAAGTAAAATACAATTTTTATTTTCCACAGAAGAATCAATACATATTGAATTATAAATATCCGATAATTCCATTAATAATCATTAAAAATTGCTTTGTCATTTGTAAAATCAAAAACGAAAAGCCGATTCAAAGAGAGAATGGTTAATTTGTTTATATAGTGATTCTGGTAAGCATTTCTTAATACGGTAGATACGTGCACAAGCACTGCTTAGTTTTTTGTTAAGAGATAGTATGTGTGGTTTCCAACTTAATTTGTCATCAATAATTACTCCAAGGAATTTAGTTTGACTAACACTCTTGATAACCCTGTTATTCATGGATAGGTAATAGCTATCTATATCGGCGTCTAATTCATTATTGTTATGTTTATTTGGAGAGAAGTACATGTAACAGCACTTTTTTACATTAATGTGTAGTAGGTTTACTATCATGTACTTATTAACAGCCTGCAGTATTATGTTAGCCATGTCATATACCTTATTCTTTGAGTCGGCTGCAACAAATATATTAGTGTCGTCAGCAAATAGAACAAATTTACCTAGACTTGTTATATTACAAATATCATTTATGTACAGTATGAACAGTACCATTAAGCACCATTGTAAGGACCATTATATAAAAAGATTTGTTTTCAAGTAAAAGAGGCATAACAAAAGGCTAGGTATACCATAGGGTTTTAAAGTTTAAAGTTTTTGGATAATAAGGTGTTTGTTAACTTCTTGATTACTAGGGCTTGAATTTTTAACCTGGATAAAAACGTTATATTATGCATGAAAATCAAATCCATTATGAAGTTTAGGTCGGTCAATAAGGTGTGCTGCTTAACTGAAAGTAGTTCTCCTGCATCCATCAATAGGAAAACAAATTTCATATCTCTGTGATAATATCATATCTCTGTGTATGCAGAATGGACCATATGCCGTTCTACTGATGAGCTATTATAGTTGCTATATGTTCAAATCTTTTGTAAGTTTTCCTACATTTACGCACTCATCCCTATTCTTTAGAGACAACAAAATTTCCAAGATGATGCTCACCTGATGTTTGGATATTAACCCCAAGGTGTACAAAAAATTGTCTGTTCTTTCCGAGTCCGCAATGAAAGAATAGCTATACCTTGTACAGATTTCCTGATTTGAGAAGTTCAGAGAATCTGCCACAACTTGAGCAGAGCTGTCATCAACATACTACACCATGATAACATCTCCCTATCATAGGCTTTGAGGTCATCGATGATCCTGGGTCTTGGCCGTCTTGCAGCATTTGAGTTAAACTGTATTATTCTTAGGTGCCATATTTAGTTGATGGTAGTGATGGTCACCATTTTTAACCTGACTTATAAAGTTTGTCTTAGCATGAGATTACAGTGTGATGATACTAGACGACCTGAGTATGAACTCTTCAAGGCAGTTCAGGACTGCAATTTGAGGTAATCGCAATGTTTGTCTCTTTCATTTTACATATCACTGCCTTTTGTACAAGCTTGACTTAGTATAGATGGTTTTTCTAAACATTTTCTGGTTTTATCATACAAAAAGCTCCCAGTTAGTTCACTCTTACAATGTATATCAATTTCACTTCAATATGGACTGTCACAATCTTTTAAAAATGTAATATTTTACTGTTGTAGAGAAGTCAGACGTCTGCTAAGAGAAGGTGCCAACCCAAACCTGCTTCTCAAGAGAAAAGGAGGACTGTCCCCCTTTCACCTGAGTGTTGGTCTATCAGGAAGCAAAGCTCTGGAAATAGTTGCTGTGTTGCTTGATGGAAATGCTCATCCTAACAACCGGGCTTTTGATGGGTTAACTCCTCTTCATATTGCTGGTGAGTGAGATGTTTCTTTTTAGGAAATACTCCAGCACATCATTGCAGTGTTATTGAGTGTTTGCTCTTATCACAGCTTTTTGATCATCTTGTAATTGTACGCTTCTGTTATATTTAAATTATAGGAAACTGATTTGTTCAATTTTCAGCAATGTGGGGACACTTGCAAGCAGTTGAGTTGCTGGTTAACAGTGATGCAGACATTGAACTGTGTGACAATGAGGGGAAAACAGCTGTGAGTCGTACACTTAAACATACATGAAACTCAGGGATGAAGTTAAATGACTCCAAACGGATCTTCCTTGCTACTCGCCATGATAATTACAATAACAAATGACAAAAGCAAATAACAATAACAAATGACAACTATAACTATCAAATTATTTTAATATTGTTTCATTGCAGCTGATGTTATCACGTGAGATGAACCAGTACCATGTTGCAAGATATCTGGACAAGTTACAGAGACACATTATTACTGCTGTGTGCGAGGCTGAAGAGGCGTGTAGCAGGATGGACCAGACGAGAAACAATCAGGGTTAGTATTTATTCTTAATTAATAATTAATTGATTAATTAATTGATTAATTAAGTTTTTTAATACTAGAGTAATTTTTGTTTCACCTCAAGTAATAAGGGCCGGTTATATATAGTAGATCTAGTCAAACTCTTCTCGTGGTATTTTTAATAAATTCAACCTATTTTAATTTTTTAAAGTTTTACGTGGCTTTATTCCTGCAGCATCTTTTTAATGAATCACCTCCTAGCATTTCATCTAAGTTATGGCCTTTTCTTTCTTCAGGTTTTATCAAAACTTCACGCAGTCAAGTGTGTAAGTTGCCGTTCACCTCAATACCTAGAATCAGTTAAAATTGTAAAGATACATGGTTATATATAGAGTCTACACAAGGTGCTGAAATATGGATCTTAAGTGATGAAAAACTGCACCACATCCTAATCCGACCATTAAGAGCCATTCTAGGTATCACGTGAATCAACCACAGTGCAGTATTTAATCACGTCGGCTGGATACAGGATATATGGTGGGACTGACATTAGTGTCAGATTGTTCAATGTGCCGAGGAAACGAACAGTTTCGGGATGTCCTCTCATTATCAAGGATTGGTGGAGTTTTGTCACGTGCTGTATTTACTAGTCTCTGATTGGTAGAATTTGTGGTTCCGGTGGTACATTTAAGATTAGAGTGGATCTATTGGATTATAATAGACAAAGTCTAATTACTTGGCTTCTAGGAAGATTAAAACATTAAGTTACACGTGTGGAGGTATTAGACACATGTGTTAAATTGTGTGGGGTGGATTGTTACACTTAATCTCTGAGTGTAGTGCCCAAGCTGTTATCACGTGTAATTAGTGTAATTAGTAATTAATTATTTATATACAGTGCTCTCTTCTAGCTCAGCTAATTATTGTGACCAAATTTAAAGTAAAGTTTTTGAGTGACATGGCATTTACATATTTATCGAAACTTGGATTCAGAAAAATATTATTCATCATAAATTCAATTTATAATAATATTTTTCATGATGTTCATGCCACCGACAATTTATCATAAATTGTCGGTGACATGAACATCATAAATGGTTTATGTTTTGTTGAGTATAAAATTTATGTTTTGTTGAGGACCACCCAGCCGAATACTCGAGAAATCGTGAGGGTAAATGTGCAATGTAGTACAGTGAAAAGCAAAAACTATAATGGATGGTTACCGTAATTATAATGGGTGCCATATGCCTAGAATGAAATATTTACTTACTTGCACTTGTGTAGGTCTGTAGAAGCATTAGTATCGGGCGTTGCCTGCTACAGGCTATCCCGAAACTAGAAGCTTGCTTTAATAATGAGGACCAAGTCGTTGTTTACTGGGAACAAACAATCACTTGTATGAGTTTTGGCGACGTGCCGCTATACTCGAAAGGAAGGAAACTGCTTATTTACTGTTGATATGGTTTAGTAAAGTTGGTAGAGGGCAGAAAAAGATATTACCAGAGTTATAATAGCCTCGAATATTTGTGGAATGTGACCCAAATCTCCGCCATCAAAACTTAAGTAACTCTTAAAATGGGCAGTTAAGAATGTATCATGCTGTTTCGATAGTAGTCTGTGGTAGTCTGGTATAGTCTCAGGTCAATTTACATATTACAGCGAACATTTTGCAGCCCTGTTATTTTCTCAGCTTGTTAGCTTGAGTTAGATACTGTGGAGGTGATCCAAATTATCGCTATGAAAATAGAATTAGAAATAACTTAGAATAAGAAAGTTACAATGTTTTGCTAATAATGTCTTAAATAAATGTGGTCATTGCGAACTTGCTATGATTGCTACAGCCATCTAAGCTACACAACTTGAGAAGCCAACCAAGCATGATATGTTCTCAACCACGAGCAAGAAGGTAAGAAGGAATTTAAAACATCTCTTTGTTAAATATGCTGAAGTCAGCTTGATATAATATTATGTGAATGTTGCATTGTGTATGCAGGGTATGCACTATCAACTATGGAAACATTCCTGACTTGCTTGTGTAAACAAAACACGGTTGTGCGTGTAAACACAACATATTTTAATGTAAACAAACCATCTACGTAGACTATTTAAGTACATAGACTGTCAAATAACTGACGTTTTTGTGTGTGTAGACAGTAAAATTCACTGAAATTCCTCTAAAATTCCCATTTCTCCAGTCATACATGTGTATCAGGAAGATTAGACTGCCATAATATTACAAACATGTGCTACACGTGATAAATTATGTGATATCATAGTGTCCTAGACAATGTATACTAAAGAATGTGACGTTTACAACTTTGCAACTGCACCAGGCACCTGCATGTCAATATCATCACTGTAATAAGAATGCAGCTAAAACTTGATCTGAGTAGTGCTGTTAGTGCTGTTAGTGGTGTTAGACATTACAATATTACATGTTAGAACCGGATAAAGATATGATTATGTTGTTAATCAAATGTTATTGATTATCAGTATCTAGCTTTATTTCGGTATCTTAGGATACCAATAACAACTCAAGATATCATTCATGATTTTCTAGATGTTGCAAAATTCGTGCACATATTTTAAATTTCAATCTTTATTTTATGAACGAGTCGAGTATCTTATAGTAGGCAGAGTAAAAGATTGCCCACCTTTTTTAAAGGTTTATTTATCAAATATAAACAGAAATATTTATAAGCTGAGTCCACACTGCACTGATTATGATGAAAGTGTAAAGACACACTGATTTCTGACCTGAAGAACAGAGGGCCCCAGTCTAAATGTGTCTAATTGAGTTTGCTTGCTAAACATCACACATTATAACATATTACAGCTCATCTCTATCTTGCATAATTACTGTGTGTAGGTTATGTAAACATGGTTACACGTGAAATTAGAGCTAGCTTCAAGGGGACACACTGTTTGTGTAATAGTATGAACTGTGTAACTGAAACCATTTAGTAACGCATCTAGTGCAGGTAGTGAGACACTAATCACTGCTTAATTAGGCAATTAATTATCAATTAGTGTTTGTTTCTCGAGTTAGAAAGAAATATAACTCTGAAAAGAAGTTGTTTATTAAAACTTTAAAATTTTGTTGATGTTCGACAAGCAATTCTAATTTCAAAACAAAGTGTACTTGCTACTCAGATAACTAAAAATCTGCACAGTATAACATCTGTATAATATCTGTGCACGTTATTTAGTTATTTAGCCGTATAAGTTTGTACTTGCAAAGCACTTTAAGTGCTAAGTGTGCTCTTGAAGTGCTAATTTCAGCACTTATAGTGCTACTTGGCACGCGTACTGCTGTGCTACTGTGATTTTATAGTGTCACTTCTACCAGTGGTGTGATTTTATCAGCTGTCTTGGTAGAGTTACACCGGGTACATAACGGAGATAACAGCCATGTTGATAAAGTCAGCTGTACTTATTATTATATAGTAGACATGTTTATTATTATATTATAGTAGACAAGTCAAATATGTAGAATGTAGATTGTGGAGCTATAAATGGGTGTTTGAAATGATATCGTGTGATTAATTAATGGTCTTGTTCACAATTCAACTTCATCAATCATCAGAGGTTCTACTTTCTGTCACACTTAACTTTATTTTCCCGCCAAAACTGACTGTCAGGCAGGTAAACAGGTAAAGATAAACGAGTCTTACATGTCATGTGACAGACAGGTGACAACCAGCTTATATTGAGTCTCTCGAGTGTAATAATTTTCAGCTGAACATTGACGTTTACCCACTTACCCCCTGGAGCTCATACAATATGATAGTTTACAACACAGTGTTATACTGTGACAGTGTATTATCTCTTTTGAACGATGACTTCATGCAGATTAATTTAACCCCCACTCATTTTCAAGTTGCTTTCATTAATATAATGTGTGTGTATTATTACACGTATACTATATCTATTAGACCCCCACCCGGTCCCCCCGGCGAGGTTAATTGTACTGCTTGTAACCAAAACCACTCTGATAATTTAACAAGATCTGTTTACCATAACCTACTGTTGTGGAACGTTATAAACTTAGGTGTGGTCTTTGAAAAACAAGATGGCCTTTCACCTTAACCACCTCCTTTGAGCTGTAGGGGTGGACTGGCCTAGTACATTATACATTATACAATATATGTATGATTGATGACTTGACGCATTATATGCTATTTAGGCGATAACTTCTTACAGATCCTCTCACGCTTATTAATTTACAGAAAATATCACGTGACTTAGTGAAAATATCACGTGACTTACGGAAAGTATCACATGTTTGGCAGGTTGATGGGTAAGCTGTGTTTGTCGAGTGTTGCTGCAAGGTGTGTTGACTGTTGAGTGAGAGTTGACATTTCAGTCTCAATGTAAAACTGTAACACGGATAGAGACTATATTTCCTACAGTCTGAGTTTACTCAAAATATATTTATATTTGCACGCAGCAGCCAGCAATTCCCTAATGTGAACTAACTTGTTTTGGCGCGATGTGATATAATCGAGCCGATTCTGTTCTATGCGACTCAGTTCAATTCAATTTAATTCCAGAATCCTTAATGCAGGATTTTGTGCACATAACAGAGACAATATGTTTAATGCCAACTAAACCTTTCCATTATCATGTAATGTACGTTTACATTCAGTATTAAAGACGACCAAATCACCATTATTTAATTAATTATCATATTTATATTTGCAACAAGTACATTTCTTTAACTAACCATCTTTAAAATGGTCAATTAAAGAATTGTACTCGTTAAAATATCATACAATAACCCTCCCCCCGGGCTACAATAACCCTCCCCAGGACTCTACAGTAGCCAAGTTAATCAATTGTCTGTTTATTTATTGTTTCTAAACCTCATGGACTTTAATAACGCCCTAACAATTTATTGTTAATACAAATTTTCAAATTGTTACAAGGTACCGACTTGTGTTCGATGAGGTCGGGTGTTACCTTTAAAACCATTCATACAGAATACAATCTCGTTCAATAACTCCCGCGAAATAATAAACTCATTGTATTGA